TCTTAAAGAATAAGTTACAGGGTGTGAGAGCCAGAAATCTTGCTTGTTTGTAGGTGACCAAATACTTATTTTCCACCATAATTTGCAAATAAATTCATTAAAAATCCTACAATGTGATTTTCTGGATTTTGTTTTCTCAATTTGTCTGTCATAGTTGACGTGTACCTATGATGAAAATTACAGGCCTCTCATCTTTTTAAGTGGGAGGACTTGCACAATTGGTGGCTGACTAAATACTTTTTTTCCCCACTGTATGTGGAAAAAGGGAAGGGGTCTGAATACTTTCTGAATGCACTGTATGCTGTAGCTAAGAAAGTAATACTAAGTGTATGTTGTGTAGTAAGTTGTTAGTAGCCCATGTGCCTCACCCTAAAAATGTGTTCCCTTTCTCCCTCATAACCTAGCCTACTGTTCTGACTTGGTGGTGCCTGTTTTATAGAAATGTAATCATCAAATATTGTAAGAGCTTTCATTGTCTGCTTCTATGCTCCCTTTATTTATCCTATGGTTCTGACTTGGTGTACAGGGAGAATACTGTAAGAACGGCCCATGTTCTGAATTCTGCCGCTGTACATTTCTGAACAAATAATAATTACATCCTGTGGATGGGAAAAGGTGTTACTCATGTTCATATTTAGATTGAGTGTGATTGCCATAATGCATAACATATTCAGTCTCTGTAACCCACATGATTCACATACTAGTCAATTCTGTAGTCTCAAGACAAACACTAAAGGTGTCGACTGAATATTTTGAATGGTTTTACATTTATCTTGTTCGCAGAGGGGCACAACTTTCACTGGGGATGGGGAGGGACATGACCCCCCCACATTCTGAAATTGCATTTTTGTCCCCCCCCAGTTTTATCATTGCACTGTGATACAAAACCCAGCCTCGGTGTGCTTTAGGACCATGCAGACGCCTCAGAGCGGTTGGGTAGGCTGTTTTCCGGTTTCAGCAGGCTGGATTTAGGACCACACGGATACCACAGAGCGTGCGGACAGGCTGTGTGAAGGCAAAGCTTCTGAAAGGCTGGCATATAGGACCAGCACGGGAGAGATGAACAGAGGCAGCTGCTGTCTGTGTTGTGCATTTTCTCAGAGTTTTAAAAGAAAGCAGAGCAGAAACTGGCTACTCTTTAGTTGACTGATCTAGCTAGCAAGGTAACTGCTGTTTGACAGAACATATAGTATTTATTCCCACTGCTGAGCTAGTGTAACTGTCATGTGACGTTTGCTAATGTTTCATCCCCTCTCGACTTACGTGAATGAACTACTAGCAGCTAGTTAGCTAGCTAGTAGCTACCACAGCCAGAGGTGGACATTTGCATATACAATGCATTCGGAAAGTATTCAGACCCCTTCACTTTTCCCACATTTTTTTAACGTTACAGCCTTATTCTAAAATGGATTAAATAAATAAAAATTATCATCAATCTACACACAATACCCTATAATGACATAGCAAAAACAAGTTTTTAGAAATGTTTACAAAAATATAAAACCGTTAAAACAGAAATACCTTATTTACATAAGTATTCAGACCCTTTGCTATGAGACTCGAAATTGAGCTCAGGTGCATCCTGTTTCCATTGATCATCCTTGAGATGTTTCTACAACTTGATTGGAGTCCACCTGTAAATTCAATTCATTCGACATGATTTGGAAAGGCACACATCTGTCTATATAAGGTCCAACAGTTGACAGCACATGCCAGAGCAAGCCATGAGGTCGAAGGAATTGTCCGTAGAGCTCCGAGACAGGATTGTGTCGAAGCACAGACCTTCGGCAGGGTACCAAAAAAATTCTGCAGCATTGAAGGTCCCCAAGAACAAAGTGGCCTCCATCATTCTTAAATGGAAGAAGTTTGGAACCACCAAGAATCTTCCTAGAGCTGATCGCCCGGCCAAACTGAGCAATCAGGGGAGAAGGGCCTTGGTCAGGGAGGTGACCAAGAACCCGATGGTCATTCTGACAGAGCTCCAGAGTTCCTCTGTGGAGATGGAGAACCTTCCAGAAGGACAACCATCTCTGCAGCACTCCACCAATCAGGCCTTTATGGTAGAGTGGCCAGCCACTCCTCAGTAAAAGACACATGACAGCCCGCTTGGAGTTTGCCAAAAGGCACCTAAATGACTCAGACCGTGAGAAACAAGATTCTCTGGTCTGATGAAACCAAGATTGAACTCTTTGGCCTGAATGCCAAGCATCACTTCAGGAGGAAACCTGGCACCATCCCTACGGTGAAGCATGGTGGTGGCAGCATCATGCTGTGGGGATGTTTTTCAGCGGCAGGGACTGGGAGACGAGGGAAAGATGAACAGAGCAAAGTACAGAGAGATCCTTGATGAAAACCTGCTCCAAAGTGCTCAGGACCTCAGACTGGGGTGAAGGTTCACCTTCCAACAGGACAATGACCCTAAGCACACAGCCAAGACAACGCAGGAGTGGCTTCGGGACAAGTCTCTGAATGTCCTTGAGTGGCCCAGCCAGAGCCCGGACTTGAACCCGATCGAACATCTCTGGAGAGACCTGAAAATAGCTGTGCAGCAACGCTCCCCATCCAACCTGACAGAGCTTGAGAGGATCTGCAGAGAAGAATAAGAGAAACTCCCCAAATACAGGTGTGCCAAGCTTGTAGCGTCGTACCCAAGAAGACTCAAGGCTGTAATCGCTGCCAAAAGGTGCTTCAACAAAGTACTGAGTAAAGGGTCTGAATACTTATGTTAAAAAAAATCTTTAAAAACTGTTTTTGTGTTGTCATTATGGGGTATTGTGTGTAGATTGATAAGGAAAAAAATAATTTGATCGATTTTAGAATAAGGCTGTAACGTAACAACATGTAGAAAAAGGGGGTCTGAATACTTTCCAAATGCACTGTACAACACTTTATTATCTGTGCAGTGGACAAGCAAGAAGCTTCAAAGATTGAAACTATTTTAAGGCAGTCTGACAAACCTCTAAAGTTGATTTCCAAATGGTTTGAAGGGTTGATAGAGGCTTTTCCCAATGACACAAAACATGCAAAACAAAAATGTGAGGAAGGCCTGGGAGATGCTATTGATGATGAATGGATACAGATATGTTAGAATGCCCAGTCATGTTCATATAATCTCAGATATAAATTACTGCAGTTTAAGACCATCCATAGAATGTACTATATGCCAGTGAAACGGAATATCATGCACGCAGAAATGGAATTCTTCTGCTGGAGGTATAAAACACAAAAGGGGACATACTTGCATATGTTATGGTCTTATGAAGGCTGGCTGAATTCTGGTAAAGAGTATGTTCTTTTATCTCTATAAATTCTCCCTTCTCCCTGTTTTTGTTTGCTTGGAAATGTTGATACTGGAGACTGTTATCAGAAGAAACTTTGTAACCTAGCATTTATATCGGCTAAGAAATGCATTGCCATTAATTGGAAGGTTGATTATCCTCCCACAATTGATGGAGAAAATGTCAAGTTATGTATCACTAGATTTGATTTATTACAAGATTAAGGGTATACTGTGCAACTTTCATAAGGTCTGGATGCCTTAAATGGAATACTGTACGGCAAAAGGAGACTGTATTGAAAACATGCCCACGTCATGGGAGATATCAATTTAAGCAATCCCCTAGCTGCTGGGCTGTTCAGTCCTGGCACTGGGGGTCTGCCATACTGTTGGTTGTCATGCTGGCCTTGGCCTAACACACCCAAAACCAACAATTAATGTTTCACTAAGATCCTAAAGCTGAGTGGGGTGTGTTGGGTTGGGGCGCTGCAGAGCCATGGACCCCTAGGGGAAGGACGGGGTGGCCCAGCTATAGTGTGCAAGTAAAAATGCCTCTACAGTACTATTAGGCCTATGATATGAATTATATGGAGGATGTAGTGTTTCTGTGTGTTTCTGTGTAGGTGTATGTGTTTTTATTAAGCTTTTGTTTTCTAATACTTTCCATTGAGACATAAAAAAAGAGATAGGAAAGAAGTTGTGTTGGGGAGAGAGTTGAGTTATTGACTAGACTGATGACGGTCTGGCTTGCAGGCAGCTCGGGCTGGCTGAAATTTGATATAGAGGATGTCTTAATAAAGACAATCAAAAGTTAAGTCTTTGTACTTTATTTGTAAGAGTTGTTCATTTGTTAGGCTATTGGTTAAAGGTGCAGCACAATATTGAATTATCATAGATCTAGTTCAGTCTTATCAATCACTTAAACATATTTAATAACGGTCTCTTACCTAGCTTGATGACTGTGGGCATTTTTGCTTACTTTTTGTTGTTCTAAATAGAGAGAGCTAGAAGGGCCATGGGTCATATTAGATTGTGTAGAAATGCAGGAAATAAGCTTTAGATGCCCCAAAAAATGTGAGGACCCCCAGACACCCGCCAAGTTATGTCCCCGCCACATCTAAAACCAAAGTTGTGCCCCTGTGTTCTCACATGATAGGAATTTGCGTCAGCTTATCGCTAAAGGTCGTAGTACAAGGACTGAGGACACACAGGAACACGTACACATACTGATGTATTACATCATATATCTCAGGGTATATAAGCTGTGTTCTTCCTAATGGAGGTTGAACTATTTTTCTGCACTGAAGCTGGTTTTTGTTCCCTTGTTGCATTCTATTTTTACAACTTGTATTGTACTCTTATTTTCACAAACTACTAGGGGTTATTTCTGGATAAAGCCAGTGACTCTAGTCTAGCACATATGGTGCTGACCATTTAAGTGGACAGGGTTGGAAAGGGATTGATTTTGATTACAGGAGGCAGTTTCTAGCATTCTAGCATTCACAATCAGGTATAAACCTGTATTAGGCAGTATAGGCAGTATTACATCTTATTGAAGATAGCTTATATCTTATTGAGCAGGTATGGCAGTGAGGTGGTGCTCCTTTGGGTTTGTGTTGTTGATAGTGTTTGCATGTTATGCAGATGCACAGCCTAACTTGAGGTTTCCTCCATACAACAACCCCCAACCCCACGATACAGCCTCTAAGCCTAGGCAGCCACAATGGCCAGAGCCACAGTGGCCACAGCAGCAGACTCCCCACAGGCCAGATTCCCAGGGGCCACAGCAGCAGACTCCCCAGTGGCCACAGCAGCAGACTCCTCAGAGGCCAGAGCCCCATTGGCCACAGCTGCAGACTCCTCAGAGGCCAGAACATTTACATTTACATCATTTAGCAGACGCTCTTATCCAGAGCGACTTACAAATTGAAGAACCCCAGGGGCCACAGCTGCAAACTCCCCAGAGGCCAGAACCCCAGGGGCCACAGCTGCAGACTCCTCAGAGGCCACAGCCCCAGAAGCCACAGCTGCAGACTCCCCAGAGACCAGAGGCCCAGGGGCCACAGCTGCAGACTCCCCAGAGGCCAGAGCCCCAGGGACCACAGCTGCAGACTCCTCAGAGGCCACAGCCACAGAAGCCACAGCTGCAGACTCCCCAGAGACCAGAACCCCAGTGGCCACAGCAGCTGAATCCCCAGAGGCCAGAGTCCCAGGGGCCACAGCTGCAGACTCCCCAGAGGCCAGAGCCCCAGGCGTTACCTCTGCAGACTCAGAGGCCAGAGTCCCAGGGGCCACAGCTGCAGACTGCTCAGAGACCAGAACCCCAGAGGCCACAGCAGCAGACTCCCCAGAGGCCAGAGCCCCAGAGACCACAGCTGCAGACTCCCCAGAGCCCAGAGCTCCAGAGGCCACAGCAGCAGACTCCCCAGAGGCCAGAGCCCCAGAGACCACAGCAGCAGACTCCCCAGAGGCAAGAGCCCCAGGGGCCACAGCAGCAGACTCCCCAGTGGCCACAGCAGCAGACTTCCCAGAGGTCAGAGCCCCAGGGGTCACAGCTGCAGACTCCTCAGAGGCCACAGCCACAGAAGCCACAGCTGCAGACTCCCCAGAGACCAGAACCCCAGTGGCCACAGCAGCTGAATCCCCAGAGGCCAGAGTCCCAGGGGCCACAGCTGCAGACTCCCCAGAGGCCAGAGCCCCAGGCGTTACCTCTGCAGACTCAGAGGCCAGAGTCCCAGGGGCCACAGCTGCAGACTGCTCAGAGACCAGAACCCCAGAGGCCACAGCAGCAGACTCCCCAGAGACCAGAGCCCCAGAGACCACAGCAGCAGACTCCCCAGTGGCCACAGCAGCAGACTCCTCAGAGGCCAGAGACCCAGGGGCCACAGCTGCAGACTCCCCAGAGGCCAGAGCCCCAGAGACCACAGCAGCATACTCCCCAGAGGCAAGAGCCCAAGGGGCCACAGCAGCAGACTCCCCAGAGGTCAGAGCCCCAGTGGCCACAGCTACAGACTCCCCAGAGACCAGACCCCCAGAGGCCACAGCAGCAGACTCCCCAGTGGCCACAGCAGCAGACTCCTCAGAGGCCAGAGATCCAGGGGCCACAGCTGCAGACTCCCCAGAGACCAAAACCCCAGAGCCCACAGCTGCAGACTCCTCAGAGGCCAGAGACCCAGGGACCACAGCTGCAGACTCCCCAGAGGCCAGAGCCCCAGGGGCCACAGCTACAGACTCCCCAGAGACCAGAGCCCCAGAAGCCACAGCAGCAGATTCCCCAGTGGCCACAGCAGCAGACTCCTCAGAGGCCAGAGACCCAGGGGCCACAGCTGCCGACTCCCCAGAGGCCAGAGCACCAGGGGCCACAGCTACAGACTCCCCAGAGACCAGAGCCCCAGAGGCCACAGCAGCAAACTTCCCAGTGGCCACAGCTGCAGACTCCCCAGAGGCCAGAGCCCCAGTGGCCACAGCTGCAGACTCCCCAGAGGCCAGAGCCCCAGTGGCCACAGCTGCAGACTCCCCAGAGGCCAGAGCCCCAGGGCCACAACTGCAGACTCCCCAGAGGCCAGAGCCCCAGGGCCACAGCTACAGATCCCCATAGGCAGAGCCAGGGCCACAGCGCAGACTCCCCATAGGCCAGATCCCCAGGGCCACGCAGCAGACTCCTCAGAGACCAGAGCCCCAGAGGCCACAGCTGCAGACTCCCAGAGCCAAGCTCCAGAGACCACAGCAGCAGAACTCCCCAGAGGCAGAGTCAGGGGCCACAGCAGCAGACTCCCCAGAGGTCAGAGCCCCAGGGGCCACAGCTACAGACTCCCCAGAGACCAGAGCCCCAGAGGCCACAGCAGCAGACTCCCCAGTGGCCACAGCAGCAGACTCCTCAGAGGCCAGAGATCCAGGGGCCACAGCTGCAGACTCCAGACCGCCCAGAGCAGCGCAGATCCAGACCAAGCCCAGGGCCACAGCTAGCAGACTCCCCAGAGAGACCCAGAGCCAACCAGGGGCCACAGCTGCAGACTCCCCAGAGGCCAGAGCCCCAGGGGCCACAGCTGCAGACTCCCCAGAGGCCAGAGCCCCAGTGGCCACAACTGCAGACTCCCCAGAGGCCAGAGCCCCAGTGGCCACAACTGCAGACTCCCCAGAGGCCAGAGCCCCAGTGGCCACAGCTACAGATTCCCCATAGGCCAGAGCACCAGGGGCCACAGCTGCAGACTCCCCAGAGGCCAGAGCCCCAGTGGCCAGCAGTAATCAAAACTCCAGATCAGAGATGTCAAGTAGGGGCTCAGGATAAAGTGCAATGTGGAATCCCTGATATTACTCAGGCTCAATGTCAGGCTATCGACTGCTGCTTCAATGGACAGCAGTGCTACTATGGGAAGGCAGGTGAGTGTCTGACATTGCGTCTGTCTTGTAATGCTCAGATAATATTTGAACAAAACATTTACTTTTTCCTCTCTTTCCCCAGTGACTGTGCAGTGTACCAGGGATGCTCAGTTTGTGGTGGTGGTGGCCAGGGATGCAACTTGGCCCAAAATAGACATTGATTCCATCAGTCTGTTGGGGGGAAATGACAGCCCCTGCAGTCCTGTTGGCATCACTTCAGCCTTCGCCATATACCAGTTCCCTGTCACTGCCTGTGGCACCACTCTGAAGGTGAGTAGAGAGAGATAATATATATGTTATACACTGGCTCAGTATTAACTGTGGACTCACCCCTGCAGGAGGAAAGTGGTTATATGGTTTATGAGAACAGGATGGCGTCTTCCTATAAAGTGGGGATGGGACCTCGAGGCTCTATCACCAGGGACAGCTATTTTGAGTGAGTCTTCTCTCTGTAAGATTGAATTTACTTTCTTTTCCCCAGTGGGAAATCAGAACATCACAGGCTTGTAAGGACTTAGATTTAGCCCAAAAAGTAGTGGTACAGTATGCTTCAAGATCCTATTGTATCACTGCCATTTTCTCCCTATCTAGCCTGCTGTTCCAGTGTAAGTACTCTGCCACTGCGGTGAAGGCTTTGGTTATTGAGGTGAACACTGTTCCTGCACCCGCTCCTGTTGCTGCTCTGGGACCCCTCAGAGTGGAACTCAGACTGGCCAAAGGAACATGCGACACCAAGGGATGTAATAACGGTAAGGTGCATTTAATTTCAGGCTTGTTCTGTGTCAATATGTAATATTTCAAACGCATGTAGTGAAATTTTGTTTTTTTCATTGACTTTTACAAAAGTTCTTCCAATCCTGTCTGACTTCCAGAGTCCAGAGCCTTCACATTGTATTACACTGAAGAAGACTACCCTCTCACTAAAGTCCTGAGGCAGCCTGTGTATGTTGAGGTGCGCATCCTGGAGAGGAAGGATCCCAACCTGGTCCTGATGCTGGAGCACTGCTGGACCACCTCTGCCCCCAGCCCTGTCAGCATGCCCCAGTGGGACCTCCTCATTGAAGAGTGAGTAACTACAGGACTAATCAACCTGCTTTCTATGATTTGTGCTCCCTGATTATACGTCTTGCTCTTTTTACTAATACTGTATGTATTATGAACAATATGTTTGAGATCTCTTCATTATGTGACATCAGAAGACATCATGTACCACTATGTATTTTGAATTGAGACTTACATGTACACTGAGTGTACAAAACATTAGGAATACCTTCCTAATATTGAGTTGCACCCCCTTTTGCCCTCAGAACAGCCTCAATTTGTTGGGCAATGGACTCTACAAGGTGTTGAAAGCGTTCCACAGGGATGCTGGCCCATGTTGACTCCAATGCTTCCCACAGTTGTGTCAAGATGGCTGAATGTCCTTTGGGTGGTGGAGCATTCTTGATACACACGGGAAACTGTTGAGGGTGAAAAACCCAGCAGCGTTGCAGTTCATGAAAAATTAAAACGGGTGTGCCTGGCACCTACTACCATATCCCGTTCAAAGGCAGTTAAACATTTTGTTTTGCTCATTCACCCTCGGAAGGGAACCATACGCAATCCATGTCTCAATTGTCAAAAGGCTTAAATGTCCTTCGTTAACCTGTCTCGTCGCCTTCATCTACACTGACTGAAGTGAATTTAACAGGTGACATCAATAAGGGATCATAGCTTTCACCTGGATTCACCTGGTAAGTCTATGTCATGGAAAGAGCAGGTGTTCCTAATGTTTTGTACACTCAGTGTAAAGCGCTTTGGACAGGAAGTGTTGGATGACATTTTGCAACATGAAGTTTCTATTATTCCTCTCTCTCTTTCCAGATGTTCCTACCAGAATGATAATTACCTGACTACCATGGTCCCTGTGGAAGGTTCCTCTGGCCTTCTGTACCCCAACCACTACAAACGCTTCACCCTCGAGATGTTCACCTTTGTGGACCACACTCTGTCTCCCCAGAAAGATCGGGTAATTGGCTAGCTATTTTATTGTACAAACTTCATTTGATATACAATTTCCTTTTCATTAACTTATTTTATTCTGTACTCTCTTGCCAGATTTTCATCCACTGTAGTACATCTGTGTGCTACCCTACTCCAGGGGTCTCCTGTGAACCGAAATGCAACAGGCAAAGTAGGTGGTGGTTCTCACTTTACAAAGGCCTTGCTTGGACACCATGGCCACGATTAGGAGTGCTGATCTACAATCAGATCCTCCTTGTCCATAATCTTAATCATTATTCATCATAGTCAATTATGATTTAACAGACAACTGATCCTAGATCAACACTCCTACGTTCAAATGCTTTATTATCGTGAATATGGCCCAGGTTCTGTTCTTAACCGGTTCCGTTGTGTTTTTCAGGGAGAGATGTTGCTGCTGCTCAGAGGAAGACCATACAGACTGCTGTGGTCTCCAGTGGAGAAGTGGTCCTGGTTGACAAAAAGCCTGTCTACCCTTCAGACCACTAATACAACCAGCTACAGTTTTTGTAATGGGGAATGAAATAATGTACTCTGTACTTCCATACCCGTTACAGCAGAGCTTTTGAAAAGCACCAGCAGTCATTTTTCTTGCCGATACTTTCTTCGTTCTTGATTTGGAAGAAACTTGTCTCTTATAAATGTATATGTGTCCAGTTGCAGGTGGTACTCCAAAAATCTAAGAATATTCAGAAAGAAATTAAATCCACCTTTTGCACCAAGTGAGGAGTTACTTCGCCATTTTAGCTGCCAGACATCTTGCATTTCCCAACATCTTTGTAGGAACTAGTCGTTTCTATGTGACGTGGCCGCGGCTGACAGCATGTCACACAGTGCGACCAAAACAAAGATCTACACACATGCAAGAGGCATTTCTCAATCTATACAAAACGTAGATATAATATTTTTCTGAATATTCTCCAGTTTTTGGAGTTCCACCTGCAACTGGACACAGAAGTGTGCTACCCTACTCCAGGGGTCTCCTGTGACACTCCAGGGGTCTCCTACAGACACCTTTCGAACCAATATCGAAGAGAGTATCACAAAGTAAAGGTTAGTCGAAAATATCCTGATTACAGCTAGACAGCGGCTTATGCACGACCTCAGACACAAGCTTTAACTCTATATGGTTTTAATACAACATGGGCTCCTGATTTTGCTACGTATTTATTGTTTCTAATAAACAGTTGTACCACAAAGTTGGCAGTTCATAATAATGTCCTATTCTCTCGCCATAAAAATGTGGATATAAGATCTGTAAATCTGGTCAGGTTTGTTATGTGAAGGCCTTGTCTATTTCTTGGAACACCTTGATAGCAGTGATCAAGGTTGTGTAGAAGTATCATTCTAGGCCAAAACACAGAACAGTTTAAGTAGTTTTACTATATAGGGTCTGTAGGTCAACACTGAATGGGATCAATGGGATCTTATTCGGGAAAAGCTGTTTACATGCACATGAGTATCCCTGTATCCATGAAAACAGAATATTCCTCATTTAAGTTCATATGGGTTAAATTGAATAGTAACTCAAATATGGACACTGACTATAGGCCTATAACCTCTCACTTGTAGCTTAATTTAATATTAAGTCCTACAGAATTAGGCATTTCTTGCAGTAAAATGATACACATTTTAATTTAGTCTTGGGAACAGGAGTGGAGAAATATGAATTCTTTTTTTCAGCATCTCTTGAGAAAATGTGTGTGTAATGTGTTATCTTTGACACTGTTATGCAAGCAGACAGTATTTCAACCACATAAAATATGATTGATTGACCTGCAACTGGACACAAGACGAACTGAAGTCTAATCAAAAACGTGTTTCATCTTTTTCTCAGCATTTAATTTCCTTTAAAAACGGTCAAACTGATGACATTTTGCACAGGACCAATCTTTCCACTGTTTTGGAGTTATTGCATTTTCTCCCCGGTCCCTAAACGAAACAGACAACATTACAAGTTTCCACTAGATTACTAATGCATTCATTCTATCAATGTAATTCGTTATTCTGGTGAGCACTACTTTATTTATGGAGCAACAAGTTATGACAGAAGAGAAGCGGCATGTATCCAACTATAGTTGAAAAACAAAGGGCCTACCAAATATTGGAAATTGTAATATGGCCTACCAAATATCGGAAATTATAATATGGCCTACCAAATATCGGAAATTATAATATGGCCTACCAAATATCGGAAATTGTAATATGGCCTACCAAATATCGGAAATTATAATATGGCCTACCAAATATCGGAAATTATAATATGGCCTACCAAATGTTGGAAATTATAAGCAGAAAGTTGTCTAAATGATTGGTGAAAATAGTCAGTAGGCAATATGGTCTGGTTCAACATATAAGCAAAATACATTTTTATGGAATTATGGTGGATCGAACTGCGCAGATAGCCTACTTTTTGAAGTGATTTGTTTGACAATCAGATGAAAACATCACACAGCACCCATGACATGCGAAACTTAGCCTGCGCAGACTGCGAAAAACAACAGTAAACGGGATAAGATGCTTACATGCCACAGTATCCTGTCTAAGATCAGCATATTCCAGGCATCTTATCCGTGTTTCTCATAACCGGGATACAAGCTTTTTTGGGGTTATTGTAAACGGGATATGATGTTTATATGCGTCAACTCAAAAACAGAATACTTGAGTATCCCGAATAATAACGGGATATTGGTGTGCATGTAAACGTGGTCAATGATCCATACTATTATCCAAGTGAGCATATTGACACGAATAATTGGGGAGTTGGAAGATATTCCAGTGTAACAGAAGGCTGCAGGTATACATTTTATAGGTAACAATCCCCAAGCTATTACCCAGGCCCTATTCATAATTGTATTATGCACCCATTTCCCTCCTTGTTGTTACTCACTGATCTAATATGTGTTTGCACTTACCATGCCTTCAATGGTTGATATATTACAGGGACTGATACCTAAAAATATTTGAAGTGGAACAGATTTTTTCTGCACTGTACCCACTGAATAAGATGGAGGGTTAAAGTTGCTACATGGTCAATCCGTGTCTGCATTGGCTGTGCAGCATTTACGGTGATACGGCCTCTGCAGAAGTCAGGGCATTCATACTTCTTGCGCTTTGCGGCGCAGCACAGAGCTGTTGAGCAGAGCTGTTGTGAAGGAAGTGAGTTTGTGTTTATACAACAGGACCTTCCACCCCCACCTACCGTCAATCAATCATGTCAATACAGAGCTATATGGAGCCCTCCGCATTATTACAACATTTGGATAAATTGGCTTTTATGTAGGGTACATCGGCAGCCATTATGCAACAAAACATTGCCGACAATTACATTGATAGAAGATACAATCTATCTGCAATATTAAGCTGATCCATCCCCCCAGAAAAAAAAACCAAAAAAAAAAAAAAAAAAAAAAAAACCATTGCCGATAGAAATACAATATTGTCAGGCGTCAGTGTGTAGAGGTAGGACGGAGTCAGGCGCAGGACACAGAGCTAGTAGACAGCGTACTTTACTCGTAAATATAAGTGAACATAAACTCCACGCAGGGAGAACAATCCCGCTCACCAGTCGATCACACCAAACATAGAACAAACACGCACACAACACAGTGGGAGCCAGAGGGTTAAATAGGGAACAAATCATAGACATAATGGGAACCAGGTGTGTACAATGAAGACAAAACAAGTAGAACACAGAAACATAGATCGGTAGCAGCTAGTACTCCGTTGACGACGAACGCCGAAGCCTGCCTGAGCAAGGAGGAGGGGCAGCCTCGGCTGAATCCGTGACATATATGGAATTGAAACAATTCCTTATACTATACTGAACAAAAATATAGGCAACATGAAACAATTTAATTGATTTTACTGAGTTACAGTTCATGAATCAATCAATTGAATAAAATTCATTGGGCTCTAATCTATGGATTTCACATGACTGGAAATACAGATATGCATCTGTTGGTCACATATACCTTAAAAGAAATAGCCTCACAATGGGCCTCAGAATCTCTTCACAGTATTTTTGTGCATTCAAATTGCCATCAATAAAATGCAATTGTGTTTGTTGTCCGTATCTTATGCCTGCCCATACCATAACCCCGCCGCCACCATGGGGCACTCTGTTCACAATGTTGACATCAGCAAACCGCTCGCCCACACAACGCCATACACATGGTCTGTGGTTGTGAGGCCAGCTGGATGTACTGCCAAATTCTCTAAAATGACGTTGGTAGAGAAATTAACATTCAATTCTCTGGCGACAGCTCTGGTGAACATTCCTGCAGTCAGTATGCCAATTGCACACTCTCTCAAAAATTGCCCTCCAAGGCTGCAACCCTGCCCAGTCATGTGAAATCCATAGATTAGGGCCTAATGAATTTATTTCAAACGACTGATTTCCTTATATGAACTGTAACTCAGTAAAATCTTTGAAATTGTTGCATGTTGCTTTTTTATTTTTGTTCAGTAAATTATCCAAGAATAGAATCAATGGTTCAATAATTGAAATGACCATTATTCCCAGATCCCAGACTGTAGCTTTAAGCTTAAACTGCTGTCCTGTAGCTACTGTAGGTCTACCCATCAATTCAAGATGGAACTTTGTATCATTCACTGATATTGTTAATATACTGCAAAATTCACCTGAGCTCCATACACTGGTCTTCCCTGGCTGTCTGAGCCTGCTGGGACCTCTTTCACCATCTGATCCTGCTAAGACATGATGAGCGTTGTGTTGTGTACTGACTGCACTAGAGGGCTGTGTTCCCGCTGGATGCCTGCATTATTCACACACTCAGAATTGGCTGCTTCAACTTCAGTAGCCTACCTCTCCTAGTTGGGCATGAGAGTTCAAGTGCGCCTAGTATGTGTGGTCTCATGGAAATAAAGTAGGCTGCCTACATGGGCGGAGAATCACGTGGCAGTGAACTTGAATATGAAATTAATTTAAATATGATCAGACTGTAGTTTATTTTCTACATTGTCTGTAAATAAATA